CCTCAGACTACCGCGTTTATTAAACATAGAACAATAATTCTACCGATCTTTCAAATTGACCAATTTGTAAAAACACACATTATGCTACAAATAATATACCATATTAAAGTGCAATCATAATGCTTTAAAATGATGCATAAATGACTGTCATAGCGTGAAAACTGTCAATGTTATTTGCAGCCATATCGGAACCTCAAACTACCGCCTTTTTAAACCTGGGAAAATAATTCTACCGATCTATCCAATTGGCCATTTTCTAAAAATACATTATGCAATAAATTATATACCAAAACAAATGGCAATTTTAATGCTTTAAAATGGTGCATAAACGACTGTCCTAGCACGAAAACTGCCAAAGTTAATTGCAGCCATATCGGAACCTCAGACTACCGCGTTTATTAAACATAGAACAATAATTCTACCGATCTATCAAATTCACCAATTAGTAAAAACACACATTATGCTACAAATTATATACCATATTAAAGTGCAATCATAATGCTTTAAAATGATGCATAAATGACTGTCATAGCATGAAAACTGTCAATGATATTTTCAACCATATCGGAACCTCAAATTACCGCCTTTTTAAAGCTGTGAAAATAATTCTACCGATCTATCCAATTGGCAATTTTCTAAAAATATATTATGCAATAAATTATGTACCAAAACAAATGGCAACTATAATGCAATAAAAAGATATATAAACGACTGTTATAACATGAAAACTATAAAAGTTATTTGCAACCATATCGGAGCCTTGAATTACCGCATTTTTAAAATGGTGCATAAACGACTGTCCTAGCACGAAAACTGCCAAAGTTAATTGCAACCATATCGGAACCTCAGATTACTGCGTTTATTAAACATAGAACAATAATTCTACCGATCTATCAAATTGACCAATTTGTAAAAATACACATTATGCTACAAATGATATACCATATTAAAGTGCAATCATAATGCTTTAAAATGATGCATAAATGACTGTCATAGCGTGAAAACTGTCAATGTTATTTGCAGCCATATCGGAACCTCAAACTACCGCGTTTTTAAAGCTGTGAAAATAATTCTACCGATCTATCCAATTGGCCATTTTCCAAAAATATATTATGGAATAAATTATATACCAAAGCAAATGGCAACTATAATGCAATAAAAAGATATATAAACGACTGTTATAACATGAAAACTATAAAAGCTATTTGCAACCATATCGGAGCCTTGAATTATCGCATTTTTAAACCTGTACCAATAAATATACCGATCTATCCAACTTTTGTAAAAATTCATTATGCCACAAATTATACACCAAAATAAAGTGCAACTGTAATGCTTTAAAATGATGCATAAACTATTGCCCTAGCATGAAAACTGTCAAAGTTATTCACAACCATATCGGAACCTCAAATTACCGCCTTTTTAAACCTGGGAAAATAATTCTACCGATCTATCCAATTGGCCATTTTCTAAAAATACATTATGCAATAAATTATATACCAAAACAAATGGCAATTTTAACGCTTGAAAATGGTGCATAAACGACTGTCCTAGCACGAAAACTGCCAAAGTTAATTGCAGCCATATCGGAACCTCAGATTACCGCGTTTATTAAACATAGAACAATAATTCTACCGATCTATCAAATTCACCAATTAGTAAAAACACACATTATGCTACAAATTATATACCATACTAAAGTGCAATCATAATGCTTTAAAATGATGCATAAATGACTGTCATAGCGTGAAAACTGTCAATGTTATTTGCAGCCATATCGGAACCTCAAATTACCGCGTTTTTAAAGCTGTGAAAATAATTCTACCGATCTATCCAATTGGCCATTTTCCAAAAATATATTATGGAATAAATTATATACCAAAGCAAATGGCAACTATAATGCAATAAAAAGATATATAAACGACTGTTATAACATGAAAACTATAAAAGTTATTTGCAACCATATCGGAGCCTTGAATTACCGCATTTTTAAACCTGTACCAATAAATATACCGATCTATCCAACTTTTGTAAAAATGCATTATGCCACAAATTATACACCAAAATAAAGTGCAACTGTAATGCTTTAAAATGATGCATAAACTATTGCCCTAGCATGAAAACTGTCAAAGTTATTTGCAACCATATCGGAACCTCAAATTACCGCGTTTTTAAACATAGAACAATAATTCTACCGATCCATCAAATTGACCATTTTTTAGACGAACACATTATGCCACAAATTATATACCAAATTAAAGTGCAATCATAATGCTCTGAACTGATGCATAAATGACTGTCATAGCATGAAAACTGTCAAAGTTATTCACAACCATATCGGAACCTCAAATTACCGCCTTTTGAAACCTGGGAAAATAATTCTACCGATCTATCCAATTGGCCATTTTCTAAAAATACATTATGCAATAAATTATATACCAAAACAAATGGCAATTTTAACGCTTGAAAATGGTGCATAAACGACTGTCCTAGCACGAAAACTGTTATTTGCAGCCATATCGGAACCTCAGATTACCGCGTTTATTAAACATAGAACAATAATTCTACCGATCTATCAAATTCACCAATTAGTAAAAACACACATTATGCTACAAATTATATACCATATTAAAGTGCAATCATAATGCTTTAAAATGATGCATAAATGACTGTCATAGCATGAAAACTGTCAATGTTATTTGCAACCATATCGGATCCTCAAATTACCGCCTTTTTAAAGCTGTGAAAATAATTCTACCGATCTATCCAATTGGCAATTTTCTAAAAATATATTATGCAATAAATTATATACCAAAACAAATGGCAACTATAATGCAATAAAAAGATATATAAACGACTGTTATAACATGAAAACTATAAAAGTTATTTGCAACCATATCGGAGCCTTGAATTACCGCATTTTTAAACCTGTACCAATAAATATACCGATCTATCCAACTTTTGTAAAAATTCATTATGCCACAAATTATACACCAAAATAAAGTGCAACTGTAATGCTTTAAAATGATGCATAAACTATTGCCCTAGCATGAAAATTGTCAAAGTTATTTGCAACCATATCGGAACCTCAAATTACCGCGTTTTTAAACATAGAACAATAATTCTACCGATCCTTCAAATTGACCATTTTTTAGACGAACACATTGTGCCACAAATGATATACCAAATTAAAGTGCAATCATAATGCTTTAAAATGATGCATAAATGACTGTCATAGCATGAAAACTGTCAAAGTTATTCACAACCATATCGGAACCTCAAATTACCGCCTTTTTAAACCTGGGAAAATAATTCTAGCGATCTATCCAATTGGCAATTTTCTAAAAATACATTATGTGTTACCGCCGCCACTGTTTTATTTAAAATTTGTTTACCTATTTATTTATTATTTATTACATTTTGTTTTCCACTGCAGTAAAAATACAAGCATACATACATATATTTGCATTAAATACATATATATATGTACGAATGTTTATACATTTGTTTATTCTTTTGCTCTTATTGAACAATTGCTTAATAACGGTTCTACCTACTGATCATCTACTGCTTTAAAAGGCATTGCAGATGATTATTAAGGGCTTTTTATGAGTTTGTCAAAGAGACAGTGAAAACAAATTGTTTTAAAGCATCGGAAAATATTAAACTTTGTTAAATTCTAATTAAAGAAAATAAAGTTATTTTTATATTTGTTGCTCTTAAAAGTTGTTTTTCAATTTAAACAAACTCTGAAGCCACAGTTCTTTAAAACAATTTCGTGTGGTTTTAATAAAATAAAAAAACATATTTTGCCTCTATACAAATATAAATAAATCGGGTTTAAATTAGACAAAATAAAATGTCGCAAACCGATTTTAATTGCAATAAATGTGACTTAAAAGACACCGAACGCATGGTGCAGTGTGACTCTTGTGATAAGTGGTTCCATTTTGAGTGCGTTGGAGTAAATAGTGACGTTGCTAATGTTAGCTGGAATTGCTCTTGTGGTAATGACCAGCTCGTCGTAATTAAAAATAGCGCATCTACCGTCACTTCGCGAACCATGTCAACAATTAATGGCACTGCTGAGTTTACTGCAGGCTTACGAGCAGCCTCATCCCCTGCAAGCCAAATATCTACACCTCTTACAGATGTGCCCTGTCCGTCGTTAAGGGGAAATACTGTACAATCACTTATTGAAAATAATGTTGGCCCTGAAAAAGGTGCATATAAAAAAGCACAAAAGCAACCAATGCAAGAACAGGGAAACAGCACCATAAATGAACAAGGTGAAACAGTGATGGCTCGAGCTAAGGTAGTGTCAACAACAATTCCTACTGATCATTATATGCATCAAAACTTTGTAAGTCAATGTGGCCCACAACCGTCATCCAGTTCGGTGTCGTCTCACAGGCAATTGCAGTTGCAGATGCTGGAAGAAGAAAAGGAGCTACATAGGAAATACTTGGAGAAGAAATATAGTATCCTTTCCCAAGGTGATGTAAGCCAGGCTTCAAATTCCTTTTCAAATATTTCTTCTTTCTAGCCCACAGCATCCCAAATCGCAGCCAGGCAGGTGATACCAAAAGAGTTGCCCAATTTCGACGGTAATCCATAAGACTGGCCACTATTTATCAGTAATTATATAAACAGCACTGAGATAGCAGGCTATACTGATGGTGAAAACCTAATGCGGTTACAGTCGTGTCTACGTTGTCGTGCCAAGGAGCTGGTAAAAAGCAAATTGCTAATTCCGTCTATGGTGAATGAAATTATTCAAACCCTTGAAATGTGTTTCGGTCGTCCAGAGCACATTCTAGACAGCATGATAGAGAAGGCAACAAAAATCCCTCCACTTAAAGACAGGCTCGACAGCATCATCGAATACGCACTCACCATACGAAATATTTGCTCAACGATGGAGGCATGTAATTTAGTGGCCCATTTAAATAATCCGCTGCTGGTGAAAACTTTGGTTGACGAGTTCATCAGTGACTCTAATGGAGCAAAATCTTTTCAACCAATTAGGACTTACTGGCAAACAAGAACCTTTGGAGCTACGGTGGACTGGTGATACGACCCGATCTGAAAACAACTCTGTCAAAATTAACATAGAAATATCCGGCTCTAAAAGCGACAATAGGTTCACACTTTATGATGTCCATACAGTGAATAATCTTGGTCTGCCCATACAGTCTTTGAATTTTGAGGATATAGTTAGAGACAACACCTACCTTAAAGGTTTACCAATACAGTCGTACACAAATGCCAAACCGATGGTTCTAATTGGGCTCAACAATTGGAGACTTGCAGTTCCTTTAAAAATTAGAGAAGGTGCACGCGATCAACCAATTGCAACAAAGACTCGTCTTGGGTGGACCTTACAAGGAAGTGGCACAGATTTAAGAAGTATTCCATCCCTTAATATACACACATGTGAGTGCGAGAATCGGTATAGGGCGTTACACAATGAAGTGAAGGAATATTTTGGGCTCGATGCGCCCCATGAGAAAAATATTTTGTCGCCAAAAAATAACAAGGCAATGGAAATACTTGAAGCTACAACCATAAAGAAAAATCAACAATTCGAAGTCGGTTTACTCTGGAAGGAGGAGGTCATACAATTGCCAGAAAGTTATGAAGTTGCTCGCCATCGCTTAACGTGTCTCCAGAAGAAGTTCAAAAAGGATCCCCAATTACAGCAGACAATGCAAGCGGAAATCGATAAACTTATTTGTAAGGGTTACGCCCGAAAGGTATCCGAAGAAGAAATGTCTTCAAATGCAGGTCGCATATGGTATTTACCAATTTTCGTTGCTCTAAATCCGAACAAACCTGGTAAAGTTCGACTAGTCTGGGATGCAGCTGCAAAATCGCACAATAAGTCTTTGAATGACTTTTTAATTTGTGGCCCTGATTTACTTACTTCACTTTTCAACATTTTAATCGAGTTCCGTGTTGGACAAATAGCAATTTGTGGTGATATTGCCGAAATGTTTCACCGTATCAATGTTAAAGACGAAGATATGCATGCTCAGCGATTTTTGTGGTTCGAAAATGGAAACATATGTGCTTATGTAATGAAAGCCCTGACCTTCGGTATAAGTTGCGCTCCCTGCATCGCTCATTTTGTGAGAAATAGAAACGCAGACTATTTTCGCAATGAGTATCCCCGAGCTGTGAAAGCTATACAATGTTACCACTACATGGACGATTTTATTGATAGTGTCGACACCGAGGACGAAGCTAAAGAGCTAGCGGTTCATGTTCGCTTGATTCACTCGGCTGGTGGGTTTCATATGAGAAACTGGGTTACCAATTCTGTGGAAGTACGACAACACCTGTCTGATGATGGCTCAGCAACACAAACCTCATTTAAAGCAATAGAAAAGATTCTTGGTATGTATTGGGAATCCAATTATGACGTTTTCCAGTATAATTCTAGATTTTCGAGGCTTCGAAGAGACGTGTTCCAGCCCCATGTGGTCCCAACCAAAAGAGAAGTTCTTCAAGTCCTAATGTCTATCTTCGATCCACTAGGATTCGTCTCCCATTACACTATTGGTCTGAAAATGCTTCTACAGGATATATGGCGGTCAGGAATAAAATGGGACGACGAATTGAATGAAGATCTTTTCCCGAAATGGTCCTCTTGGTTGTCCAATTTGACCAAGATATCATCCATCATCATCCCTCGATGTTATTCTAGGCTCCTAAAAGCTACGAAAAATGTCCAGCTACATACGTTTGTAGACGCCGGTGAAAATGCATATGCAGCGGTATGCTACTTCAGAATCCAGTATAACGATGACATCGATGTACGAATTGTAGCGGCCAAAACAAAAGTCACACCACTGAAGCCAATATCCATTCCACGGCTAGAACTTCAAGCGGCGTTAATAGGCTCCAGACTGGCATCAAAAATTCGTAACGCAACGCGTCTTAACTGTGAAGAATGTTTCTATTGGTCCGACTCAAAAACAGTTCTTAAATGGCTCTCCATGGATCCTAAAAACTTCAAGGAATTTGTTATGTACAGAGTTGGGGAAATATTAGAATTTACTAATGTCACACAATGGAGTTGGGTGCCTTCTAAATTGAACCCGGCAGATTATGCAACAAAAATCTGTGCACCTGATGAAGATATGTGGCTCAATGGACCAGTATTTTTACGAGGTAACAAACATTTGTGGCCCAAATGTCCCGATCTAGGAGGCTCTAATAAAGAAGAAATAAGAAATCATTTACTGGTTATTGATAAATCAAACAGATTCACAATTAACGTCGAATATTTCTCAAATTGGAAGCGACTTTACATGGCCCTCTCACAGTTTCTTTTATATATTGAAAAATTAAAATATAAAGCTCAAGGCAGTGGTGATATTCCAGATGGTATTCGTTTCGAATACATACAAAGATCTAAAAATATATTGTTTAAGTACGCTCAAGCCAGTGAATTTTTAGAAGAAATTTGGTGTCTACAACATAATAAGAAAATACATTCTGGAAGTAAGCTCAAGCAACTAAATGTTTTCCTAGATGAAAATGGAATTATACGCGCTTGCGGTAGAGTTGAATCTCTAAATTGTAACAACGCTATTATTTTACCAAATAGTCATTACATAACTTTTTTGTTGGTCCGAAATTTCCATGAGAATTTTCATCATTGTCTTCATGAAGCTACGATTTGCAGAATTAAAACCAGATTTTATATTCCTAAATTGAGAACAATTTATAAGAGTGTGCGAGCTAAATGTCAACGATGTAAGAACCAATTAGTCGTACCCCAACCACCACTAATGGCCTCGTTACCAGCAGCTAGACTTGCAAGCTTCGAACGTCCCTTTACTTACGTCGGTATAGACTTTTTTGGGCCGTTATATGTTGTAGTAGGCAGGCGTAGAGAAAAAAGGTGGGGTGTTCTATTTACGTGTTTGACAGTGCGAGCCATTCATATTGAGGTCGCCTACAGTCTTGACACAAGTTCGTGTATCATGTGCATTCAAAATTTCATTAGTCGCCGTGGCTCTCCAAAAGAAGTATACACCGACAACGGAACAAATTTTAAATCTGTTGAAAGAGTTCTTCGTGAAGAGAAACAAAACATTGACTTAAAACAAGTATTCGATAGACACGACGAAATAAAGTGGAGATTTAATCCACCAGCAGCACCCCATATGGGCGGCGCATGGGAACGCTTAGTGCGTACGGTGAAAACCATTCTTTATGCCATGTGTCCCGCATTCAAGTTCAACGACGAGTCATTAAAAAGTGCATTTTGTGAAATTGAATTTATTATTAACTCTCGGCCTTTAACTTTTGTTGCTCTAGATTCTGCTGAAGACGATCCCTTAACACCAAATCATCTACTACTCGGATCTGCAGATGGGTACAAACCGTTATGTGAAACAAATTATGATCTGCGACAACGGTGGCACCAAACCCAGAAATTTGCAAACCATTTTTGGAGGAGGTGGGTCCGTGAATATGGCCCCAACTTAGTCCGTCGTAGCAAGTGGTTCGAAAAGGTGAAGCCACCATCGGTTGGTGACATAGTTATAATAGTTGATGACACGCTTCCCCGTAACAGCTGGCCCAAGGGTGTAATAACAGAAATAATCACCGCAAAAGATGGTCAAGTACGTCGTGTTAAAGTAAGAATCAACACCAGCACATTTGAAAGGCCCGTAACAAAAATAGCTGTACTAGACGTCGGTAATACCCAAGAAAGCAAGCTCATGCATCCCTAATTCGCTTACGAGGGGGGGAATGTTACCGCCGCCACTGTTTTATTTAAAATTTGTTTACCTATTTATTTATTATTTATTACATTTTGTTTTCCACTGCAGTAAAAATACAAGCATACATACATATATTTGCATTAAATACATATATGTATGTACGAATGTTTATACATTTGTTTATTCTTTTGCTCTTATTGAACAATTGCTTAATAACGGTTCTACCTACTGATCATCTACTGCTTTAAAAGGCATTGCAGATGATTATTAAGGGCTTTTTATGAGTTTGTCAAAGAGACAGTGAAAACAAATTGTTTTAAAGCATCGGAAAATATTAAACTTTGTTAAATTCTAATTAAAGAAAATAAAGTTATTTTTATATTTGTTGCTCTTAAAAGTTGTTTTTCAATTTAAACAAACTCTGAAGCCACATTATGCAATAAATTATATACCAAAACAAATGGCAACTATAATGCAATAAAAAGATATATAAACGACTGTTATAACATGAAAACTATAAAAGTTTTTGCAACCGTATCGGAGCCTTGAATTACCGCATTTTTAAACCTGTACCAATAAATATACCAATCTATCCAACTTTTGTAAAAATTCATTATGCCACAAATTATACACCAAAATAAAGTGCAACTGTAATGCTTTAAAATGATGCATAAACTATTGCCCTAACATGAAAACTGTCAAAGTTATTTGCAACCATATCGGAACCTCAAATTACCGCGTTTTTAAACATAGAAGAATAATTCTACCGATCCATCAAATTGACCATTTTTTAGACGAACACATTATGCCACAAATGATATACCAAATTAAAGTGCAATCATAATGCTCTAAACTGATGCATAAATGACTGTCATAGCATTAACCTGGGAAAATAATTCTACCGATCTATCCAATTGGCCATTTTCTTAAAACACAATATGCAATAAAATTATATACCAAAACAAATGGCAATTTTAATGCTTTAAAATGGTGCATAAACGACTGTCCTAGCACGAAAACTGCCAAAGTTAATTGCAACCATATCGGAACCTCAGATTATTGCTTTTATTAAACATAGAACAATAATTCTACCGATCTATCAAATTGACCAATTTGTAAAAACACACATTATGCTACAAATTATATACCATATTAAAGTGCAATCATAATGCTTTAAAATGACTGTCATAGCATGAAAACTGTCAATGTTATTTGCAACCATATCGGAACCTCAAATTACCGCCTTTTTAAAGCTGTGAAAATAATTCTACCGATCTATCCAATTGGCAATTTTCTAAAAATATATTATGCAATAAATTATATACCAAAACAAATGGCAACTATAATGCAATAACAAGTTAGAGTGCTATATTCGGCTATGCCGAATCTTAAATACCCTCCACCAGCAACCTACTTTTTATTGAAACCCATTTAACTATATAATTTTTAGATAACTTGGCAAAATATGTCAAACTAACTTTAATTAGGTCGTGAAAAATGTATATTAATAGGCCAGCTTGAAAACATTTTAATATAATGATTTATCTGTACACAGAACATACTAATTTTTAATTTTATCCGGATATAATCATTTAATTACGAATTAAGTGATTTTCCGAAGTATACCTTATATGGGAGCTAAGACAACCTATGGACCGATCCGGAAGAAAAATGATTTATATATACAAAATACACATTTATATCGTATAATGATTTATATGCCAAAAAAAATTCAAGTCGAATTTTACTACAATAGATTTGTTAATTAATGAAATATGTGCGTTTAGGTGATTTTCGAAAGTGGACTTTATATGCATAGGAGCTATGACCTTACACAAAACATATTTGTGTAGAATAGAACAATCCGGAAAAAATTTGGTAGATTGATTTACATGCTCACAAAACATATTCAAGTCGTACTTCATCCAGATAGCTTTATTATTCAAAGATATATGTGCGTTTAAGTGATTTTCGTAAGTGGACCCTCTATGGGAGCCTATACGGAAAAAATTTCGTAGAGTGATTCATATAAAGACAAAACATATTTGTGTCGAATTTTATCAAGATAACTTTATTTGACAATGAAATATGTGCGTTTAAGTAATTTTCGGAAGTGGGACTTATATGGGAGTTATGACCAATAATGAACCGATCTGGGGAAAAATTGGTAGAATGATTAATATGTACACAAAACATATTCAAGTCGAATTTTATCCTTATAGCTTTTGAATTTAATGAAATATATTCGTTTAAGTGATTTTCGGAAGTGGACCTTATATGGGAGCTATGACCAATTACGAGCCTAACCGGAAAAAATTTCGTAGAGTAACTCATATAAAGTCAAAACATATTTGTGTCGAATTTTATCACGATAGCTTTATTTGACAATGAAATATGTGCTTTCAAGTGATTTTCGGAAGTGGGCTTTATATGGTAGCTATGACCAATTATGGACCGATCCGTAAAAAATGTTGTGAAATGATTTGAATGTACACAAAACGTATTTTTGTCGAATTTTATCCCAATAGCTTTAGAATTCAATGAAATATATGTGTTTAACTGATTTTCGGAAGTGGATCTTATATGGGAGCTATGACCAATTATGGGCCAATCCGGAAAAAATTTAGTAGAATAATTCATATTTATACGAAATATATTTATGTCGAATTTTATCACGATAGCTTTATTTGACATTGAATTATGTATTTTTAAGTGATTTTCGGAAGTGGGGTTATATGGGAGCTATGACCAATAATGGACCGATCCGTAAAAAAATTTGTAAAATGATTTGTATGTATACAAAACATATTTGTGTCGAATTTTATCCCGATAGCTTTATAATTTAATGAAATATATGAGTTTAAGTGATTTTCAGAAGGGGACTTTATATGGGAGCTATGATCAATTATGGACCCATCCGGAAAAAATTTCGTAGAGTAATTTATATTTAGACTAAACATATTTGTGTCGAATTTCATGAAGATAGCTTTATATGACAATGAAATATGAGCTTTTAAATGATTTTCGGAAGTGGGCCTTATATGGGAGCTATGACCAATAATGGACCGATCCGTAAAAAATTTGGTAGAATGATTTGTATGCACACAAAACATATTTATCTCGAATTTTATCACAATAGCTTTATTCATCAATGAAATATGTGCGTTTAGGTGATTTTCGGAAGTGGACCTTGTATGGGAGCTATGGCCAATTGTGGACCGACTGTGATGTACGTTGACAGTATGATTTCCGTTCATATTATATTTGCATGTACAAAGTTTTGTGTTGATACCGATATATTTGAGGGAGTTATTAACGATAAACTAATTTCCGGGAATATATACCTTTGTATGGGGGCTATGGGAAATATTGGATCGATTCTAAAGATTTTCAACATAATTGATCACTGCCATGAAAAAATAATGTGTGACAAAATTCATCGAAATATCTTTGGTAGTTTCTGAGAAAACTTCAAAAGAATTATGAAAAAAACGTAATTTTTTTCGAGGTAGTCTGAAATTTTTACTCATAACTTTTTACGTTGTGAACCGATTTTGCTGATTTTCAATACGAAACTGCTTAGGATAATAATAAATATTTTGGGTGAATTTGGTTGATTTCCTTTGCTTAGTTTTAACGTGAGCGTGTTTTACACAGACAGACAGACAGACAGACGGACAGACGGACATAGCTAAATCGACTCAGAATTTTATAAGGACCCAGAATATATATACTTTGTTGGGTCTAAGATGAATATTTCTTGGTGTTACACACGGAACGACAAACTTATATATACCCTCTATCACCACTGATGGTGGTGGAGGGTATAAAAAGATATATAAACGACTGTTATAACATGAAAACTATAAAAGTTATTTGCAACCATATCGGAGCCTTGAATTACCGCATTTTTAAACCTGTACCAATAAATATACCGATCTATCCAACTTTTGTAAAAATTCATTATGCCACAAATTATACACCAAAATAAAGTGCAACTGTAATGCTTTAAAATGATGCATAAACTATTGCCCTAGCATGAAAACTGTCAAAGTTATTTGCAACCATATCGGAACCTCAAATTACCGCGTTTTTAAACATAGAACAATAATTCTACCGATCCCTCAAATTGACCATTTTTTAGACGAACACATTGTGCCACAAATGATATACCAAATTAAAGTGCAATCATAATGCTTTAAAATGATGCATAAATGACTGTCATAGCATGAAAACTGTCAAAGTTATTCACAACCATATCGGAACCTCAAATTACCGCCTTTTTAAACCTGGGAAAATAATTCTACCGATCTATCCAATTGGCCATTTTCTTAAAATACATTATGCAATAAATTATATACCAAAACAAATGGCAATTTTAATGCTTTAAAATGGTGCATAAACGACTGTCCTAGCACGAAAACTGCCAAAGTTAATTGCAACCATATCGGAACCTCAGATTACTGCGTTTATTAAACATAGAACAATAATTCTACCGATCTATCAAATTGACCAATTTGTAAAAATACACATTATGCTACAAATGATATACCATATTAAAGTGCAATCATAATGCTTTAAAATGATGCATAAATGACTGTCATAGCGTGAAAACTGTCAATGTTATTTGCAGTCATATCGGAGCCTCAAACTACCGCGTTTTTAAAGCTGTGAAAATAATTCTACCGATCTATCCAATTGGCCATTTTCCAAAAATATATTATGGAATAAATTATATACCAAAGCAAATGGCAACTATAATGCAATAAAAAGATTTATAAACGACTGTTATAACATGAAAACTATAAAAGTTATTTGCAACCATATCGGAGCCTTAAATTACCGCATTTTTGAACCTGTACCAATAAATATACCGATCTATCCAATTTTTGTAAAAATTCATTATGCCACAAATTATACACCAAAATAAAGTGCAACTGTAATGCTTTAAAATGATGCGTAAACTAATGCCCTAGCATGAAAACTGTCAAAGTTATTTGCAACCATAT